AAGAATGTAATGTTAGAGTGTTCAGGAGAAGTTTGTGGTTACATGAAAGTGGGTGCGGGAGGGAAGAAGAGCGATTGGTAGAAAGATGATGTAAAGAGAATAGTAAGAGAGAAAAAGTTAGCATATGAGAGGTTTTTACAAAATAGAAGTGATGCAAGGAGGGAGGAGTGTATGGAGAGAAAAAGAGAGGTTAAAACAGTGGTGAAGCAATGTAAAAAGAGAGCAAATGAGAGAGTGGGTGAGATGTTATCACCAAATTTTGTTGAAAATAAGAAAAAGTTTTGGAGTGAGATTAATAATTTGAGAAAATCTAGGGAACGAATGTATTTGGTAGTTAAAAATGGGAGAGGAGAGTTATTAAATGGAGTTAGAGGTATTAGGAAGATGGAGGGAATATTTGAGGAATTGTTAAATGTTGATGAAGATAGGGAAGCTGCGATTTCATGTATAGGGCAAGGAGGAATAATGTCTTGTAGGAGTGAGAAAGAGCCAGTTGTGAGTGTGGGGAAAGTTAATGAGGCAGTGGGAAGAATGAAAGAAGGTAAAGCAGCTGCGATTGATGAGATAAAGATGGAAATCTTAAAAGTGGGTGGGGATATAGTTTTGGAGTGGTTGGTGCTTTTATTTAATAAATGTATAGAAGAGGGTAAGGTACCTAGGGATTGGCAGAGAGCGTACATAGTTCCTTTGTATAAAGGCAAATGGGACAAAAGTGAGTGTAAAAATTATAGGAGACTAAGTCTGTTGAGTATTCCTGGTAAAGTGTATGGTAGAGTTATTATAGTTCCTTTGTATAAAGGCAAATGGGACAAAAGTGAGTGTAAAAATTATAGGAGACTAAGTCTGTTGAGTATTCCTGGTAAAGTGTATGGTAGAGTTATTACTGAAAGAATTAAGAGTAAGACGGATGCAAGATAGCAAACGACTAGTAAGCTTTAGGAAGGGTAGGCGGTGTGTATACCAAGTGTTTACAGTGAAATATATAGGTGAACAATACTTACATAAGGGTAAAGAAGTTTTTGTGGCATTTATGGGTTTGGAAAAGGCTTATGATTGGATGGATAGAGGGGCAATGTGGCAGATGTTGCAAATATATGGAATAGGAGGTAGGTTATTGAAACCAGTGAAGAATTTTACAAGGATAGTATGGGAGAGGGAGATTATTTCAGAGTAAAAGTAGGCCTTAGGCAGGGATGTGATGTCACCATGGTTGTTCAATAAATTTATAGATAGAGTTGTAAAAGAAGTGAATGCTCAGGTGTTGGTAAGTGGTGTGGGGATAAAGATAAAGAATCTAACACCTGAGTGTGCTAGATTCTTTATCTTTTAACGTGTTGTTGGAGTGTGAGCAAGGTAACATTTATGGAGGGATTCAGGGATACCGGCAGGCCGGACCTGAGTCCTGCACTCTGAAGGAGGGGTGTTAATGTTGCAGTTTTATAACTGTATTGTGAGAGCACCTCTGGCAAGACAGTGATGGAGTAAATGATGCTGAAAGTTTTTTCTTTTACAGGGCACCCTCCCACCAAGGCAAGGTGGCTGATGTGTTAATAATAATAATTTTATATATATTACATAATGATAATAATAATATATATTATTATTTAAATAAGAGTGATTTAATATATTATAATATATATTATATATATATATATACATACATACATATGACACAAGGAATAACTGTAGTCAATTACTTTCACTCTCAGTGCATATCAGATTGTGCAATGTTGAAGATAAGTGATCTTCTATAAATATGAAAGAAATAGTATAAAACTCAATTATGGGTTATACAAGCTGACAGCTATTAGTGACACAATCAAACAACAATGCTATACAAATCAGATGCTCATTATTCCAGTGGTTCTGATTTTGAACTGGTATGCACTAAGTGTCTCTCACCAAACTATACCACGTCAGTTGTGAATAGTATAGTTAATGCGTTTACCTAGTTAGTGTACCAACGTACACAGCACAATTACAAGATAACATAAGGAGAGTAAAGGTATTATGTCTTAAAATTTCATACTACATTTATCGGAAACGCCATAGGCTACCAAGTCAGGCATAGCACGAGAAGATAGTAGACATATGTAGGAAGGTATTCTGAGTACCGCTTAGAACATTCGAGTACCTCAGAGGAAGAATTTAATCGGACAAAGATCAAAATTCCATCTTTCTTTATTTGTTATAAGGTCACACAGATATAGCAATCCAGATAGCATCCAAGTGAGCCTTCTAAGTACATGCTGATAACGTACTAGAAAAAGCTACAGTATTATTCCATAATTTCCTACTTGACATTTCAAGAAAACCCTTTACCCCAACGGGGACAGGTTTGGCAGTAGGTGGGGTTAAAGACCACTGACACATACTAAGGAACTATGATATATCGAAATTTAAATATCTGAGAAACTCTCCCCTTTAAGTATGCTTTGCAACGTTGCAGACTCATGATGCCCTAGAAGGAAGTGAGTATATTGACTAAGATTTCCACACCCGTGGCTTGTCTTGCATAGTTAAATATTAGCCATCTACGATGTGTGCATTATAATTATAATCATTAAATTATTTAAATATATTATATATAAAATATATAATAATATATTTTATTATATATATATATATTATATATATTAGTTCAACGTTTCGGTGACAGCTTAATAATTACAATCATTAGAATTCATTTATGGAAGATAATACAACCAGATATAAACCATAACACGTCACTGAAATTACATAAAAATATAATTAAAACAAGTGGAAAACTATAAAATTAGAAAACCAACAAGTAAGAAGATGATGTTTAGATGTTGCTCATGAGCTGGTGAGCAGCCAGTACGAGCCTTAAGCTGGTGAGCAGCCAGTACGAGCCTTAAGCTGGTGAGCAGCCAGTACGAGCCTTAAGCTGGTGAGCAGCCAGTACGAGCCTTAAGCTGGTGAGCAGCCAGTACGAGCCTTAAGCTGGTGAGCAGCCAGTACGAGCCTTAAGCTGGTGAGCAAGCCAGTCGAGCCTTAAGCTGGTGAGCAGCCAGTACGAGTCTTAAGCTGGTGAGCAGCCAGTACGAGCCTTAAGCTGGTGAGCAGCCAGTACGAGTCTTAAGCTGGTGAGCAGCCAGTACGAGCCTTAAGCTGGTGAGCAGCCAGTACGAGTCCTTAAGCTGGTGAGCAGCCAGTACGAGCCTTAAGCTGGTGAGCAGCCAGTACGAGCCTTAAGCTGGTGAGCAGCCAGTACGAGTCTTAAGCTGGTGAGCAGCCAGTACGAGCCTTAAGCTGGTGAGCAGCCAGTACGAGTCTTAAGCTGGTGAGCAGCCAGTACGAGCTTAAGCTGGTGAGCAGCCAGTACGAGCCTTAAGCTGGTGAGCAGCCAGTACGAGTCTTAAGCTGGTGAGCAGCCAGTACGAGCCTTAAGCTGGTGAGCAGCCAGTACGAGTCTTAAGCTGGTGAGCAGCCAGTACGAGCCTTAAGCTGGTGAGCAGCCAGTACGAGCCTTAAGCTGGTGAGCAGCCAGTACGAGTCTTAAGCTGGTGAGCAGCCAGTACGAGCCTTAAGCTGGTGAGCAGCCAGTACGAGCCTTAAGCTGGTGAGCAGCCAGTACGAGCCTTAAGCTGGTGAGCAGCCAGTACGAGCCTTAAGCTGGTGAGCAGCCAGTGCGAGCCTTAAGCTGGTGAGCAGCCAGTACGAGTCTTAAGCTGGTGAGCAGCCAGTACGAGCCTTAAGCTGGTGAGCAGCCAGTACGAGTCTTAAGCTGGTGAGCAGCCAGTACGAGCCTTAAGCTGGTGAGCAGCCAGTACGAGCCTTAAGCTGGTGAGCAGCCAGTACAAGCCTTAAGCTGGTGAGCAGCCAGTGCGAGCCTTAAGCTGGTGAGCAGCCAGTGCGAGCCTTAAGCTGGTGAGCAGCCAGTACGAGTCTTAAGCTGGTGAGCAGCCAGTACGAGCCTTAAGCTGGTGAGCAGCCAGTACGAGTCTTAAGCTGGTGAGCAGCCAGTGCGAGCCTTAAGCTGGTGAGCAGCCAGTACAGCCTTAAGCTGGTGAGCAGCCAGTACGAGTCTTAAGCTGGTGAGCAGCCAGTACGAGCCTTAAGCTGGTGAGCAGCCAGTACGAGCTTAAGCTGGTGAGCAGCCAGTACGAGCTCTTAAGCTGGTGAGCAGCCAGTACGAGCCTTAAGCTGGTGAGCAGCCAGTCGAGTCTTAAGCTGGTGAGCAGCCAGTACGAGCCTTAAGCTGGTGAGCAGCCAGTACGAGTCTTAAGCTGGTGAGCAGCCAGTACGAGCCTTAAGCTGGTGAGCAGCCAGTACGAGTCTTAAGCTGGTGAGCAGCCAGTACGAGCCTTAAGCTGGTGAGCAGCCAGTACGAGCCTTAAGCTGGTGAGCAGCCAGTACGAGCCTTAAGCTGGTGAGCAGCCAGTACGAGCCTTAAGCTGGTGAGCAGCCAGTACGAGCCTTAAGCTGGTGAGCAGCCAGTACGAGCCTTAAGCTGGTGAGCAGCCAGTACGAGCCTTAAGCTGGTGAGCAGCCAGTACGAGCCTTAAGCTGGTGAGCAGCCAGTACGAGCCTTAAGCTGGTGAGCAGCCAGTACGAGCCTTAAGCTGGTGAGCAGCCAGTACGAGCTTAAGCTGGTGAGCAGCCAGTACGAGCCTTAAGCTGGTGAGCAGCCAGTACGAGCCTTAAGCTGGTGAGCAGCCAGTACGAGCCTTAAGCTGGTGAGCAGCCAGTACGAGCCTTAAGCTGGTGAGCAGCCAGTACGAGCCTTAAGCTGGTGAGCAGCCAGTACGAGCCTTAACCACAACTCACCAGGTGATAGTACTCTACAATGATTTCAATATTACTTAGTTGCAACGTGATTGTCATTGAATCCGGGTTTAAGTTGTTTAATATGTAAGAGTTCTAATATTCTCAAATCCAGACTATTACTGTGTTTAGCTCAGATTATGAAATGATATGGGCTTGGTGTATGCAAACAGACGCACGTACATGTATATTTATACAGTCAAATTTAACAGTCAGCGGAAGAGTGGCAGATAGTGTTCCTGGTGGCCTCGATCATCCACTTCCTGGGTATCATCTTCTACGGTATCTTCGCCTCTGGGGAACTGCAGTCCTGGGCTGAACCGCCACCTGAACTCCAGCAACCCGAGCCAGAACAGCAACAGCAGCAGTATGTGAAGGTCAGTCACCAGGGAAAAGAAGGAGGAAGTGAAAGGATGGTTGTGAAAGGGAGTGATTGGGTGGATGGTGCGACCCAACGAAGGATGGGGTGGAAGGAAGTGGTTGGATGGATAGGATGGGTGATGAGTGGTTGCTTGTAGGCATTGGATGCACGAATAAAGCAGTGATGAGTGTCTTTACCAGGTTCTTAAGGTGAAGAGAGATTGAAAAAAGAGGAGACAATTGCAAAGACTGGTAATAACCATTAATGGACAGTTGATTTTGTCAAGGGCCAGTAATGATTACCAACACCTGGCATCATCGGGGCGAGATCAGGAAGCCATCTGTTAACACGGTATAAAGTTGGTGAAGTTTCCCGGGCACATCTAGAGTAGGATTCACATGTTGTTTCCCCGTCAAGAGTGAAGACAACACACGATACGGAAACAAGGTGTTGTTGGCACCACGTCTCGCTTTATATAGAACTTTATCAGCAGGCAATGTTTCCATCAAGTTTCTACACAATATGTATATGGTTAACACAAACACACACACACACACACACGCACACATACACATATATATATATATACAGTGGACCCCCGGTTCGCGATGCTATCGGTATCCGATAAATCCGGTAACCGATGCATTATATCGCAGAAAATTTGCCTCGCTTCCCGATACAAAACCCGGTATGCGATGTGGTTCATACGAGATGTGTCCATGTGTGGCCTGAACTGCCCTGTGTGTGCCAGTGTTTACAAGCCAGCCAGCGTGCGCGCATCTAAGGATACATTTGGTACATTCCATATTATCCATATTATGTTTTTGGTGCCTGTTTTTTGCAAAATAAGTCACCATGGGCCCCAAGAAAGCTCCCAGTGCCAACCCTTCGAGACCAAGGGTGCTAATGACTGTTGAAATGAAGAAAGAGATAATTGCAAAGTACGAAAGTGGAGTGCGTGTGTCGGAGCTGGCCAGGTTGTATAGTAAACCCCAATCAACCATCTCTACTATAGTGAGCAAGAAAACGGCAATCAAGGAAGCTGTTCTTGCAAAAGGTGCAACTATGATTACGAAACAGCGACCGCAAGTGTTAGAAAATGTTGAGAGACTGTTATTGGTGTGGATAAATGAAAAACAGATAGCAGGAGATAGCATCTCACAAGCAATCATTTGTGAAAAGGCTAGGCAGATGCATGACGATTTGGTAAAAAAAATTGCCTGCAGCTAGTGGTGATGTGAGTGAATTTAAGGCCAGCAAAGGTTGGTTTGAAAGATTTAAGAATCTTAGTGGTATACATAGTGTGATTAGGCATGGTGAGGCTGCCAGTTCAGACCACAAAGTGGCTGAAAAATATGTGCATGAATTCAAGGAGTACATAGAGGCTGAAGGATTGAAACCTGAACAAGTGTTTAATTGTGATGAAACAGGCCTGTTTTGGAAGAAATTACCAAGCAGGATCTACATTACTCAGGAGGAAAAGGCACTCCCAGAACATAAGCCTATGAAAGACAGGCTTACTCTGTTGATGTGTTCCAATGCTAGTGGTGATTGCAAAGTGAAGCCTTTATTGGTGTATCACTCAGAAACTCCCAGAGAGTTCAGGCAAAAGAATATCCTCAAGGCTAATTTGTGTGTGCTGTGGAGGACAAACAGTAAGGCATGGGTCACTAGGGACTTTTTCTATGACTGGTTACACCATGCATTTGCCCCCAATGTGAAAAATTACCTAATTGAAAAGGAATTAGACCTTAAGTGCCTCCTGGTATTAGACAATGCCCCTGGTCATCATACAGACGTGGCAGAGCGACTTTTTGAGGACATGAGTTTCATTAAGGTCAAGTTTTTGCCTCCTAATACCACTCCTCTCCTGCAGCCCATGGACCAGCAGGTCATTTCCAACTTCAAGAAACTGTACACAAAAGCTATGTTTGAAAGGTGCTTTGAAGTGACCACAGAAACTCAATTGACGCTAAAGGAGTTTTGGAAGGATCACTTTACTATCCTCAATTGTGTAAAACTTATAGGTAAGGCTTGGGAGGGAGTGACTAAGAGGATCTTGAACTCTGCCTGGAAAAGACTGTGGCCAGAATGTGTAGACAAAAGGGATTTCGAAGAGTTTGAGGCTAACCCTGAGAAGCCTATGCCAGTTGAGGAATCCTTTGTGGCATTGGGGAAGTCCTTGGGGTTGGAGGTTAGTGGGGAGGATGTAGAAGAGTTGGTGGAGGAGGACAATGAAGAACTAACCACTGATGAGCTGCTAGATCATCTTCAACAGCAAGAGGCCACACCTGCGGAAACTGCTTCGGAGGAGGGGATAGAGAAATTGAAGAAGTTGCCTACTTCAAAGATTAGGGAAATATGTGCAAAGTGGCTTGAAGTGCAAACCTTTATGGATGAAAATCACCCTCAGACAGCTATTGCAAGCCATGCTGGTGACTATTACACTGACAATGTTGTGAACCACTTTAGGAAAGTCATAAAGGAACGAGAGGTACAGGCCTCTATGGACAGATATGTTGTGCGACAGAGGTCCAGTGACTCTCAAGCTGGTCCTAGTGGCATTAAAAGAAGAAGGGAAGTAACCCCAGAAAAGGACTTGCTACCTCAAGTCCTAATGGAGGGGGATTTCCCTTCTAAATGCTAACACCATCCACACTCTCCCCTCCTCCCATCCCATCAGTCATCACCAGATCTTCATTAGAGGTAAGTGTCAATTATTCTTTCGTTATTTATTGTTATTTATTGTTATTGTTGTTATTGTAATTACTATTCTATTGCATTAAACTTAATATTTCATGTGGTAAAAGTTTTTTTTTTCATACTTTTGGGTGTCTTGCACGGATTAATTTGATTTCCATTATTTCTTATGGGGAAAATTGATTCACTTTCCGATATTTTTGGTTTACGATGAGCTCTCAGGAACAGATTAGTATCGCGAACCGAGGGTCCACTGTATATATATATATATATAATTATATATATATATATATATATATATATATATATATATATATATATATATTTTTAAATATATCAGTAACAACACTGCGCTAGCCAAGGATTCGAACCCATGTTGTACTGGCCTGCCTCGTGGTAAGTGAGAACCACATGACGCTTTAAACCACAGGACCACCCAACCCTACAAGAATGGCGCAGCCAGCAGAGCTAGCTGTTGGGCTGCCATCCGAGATCATACGGAGGTGTGGGAGCTTCTAAGCTAATTTTATTCTCATCCCTGTTTGGTGTACCAGCCTCACGAGCAGCATTTATATATTATTGTAACCACGGACGAGTGGTATTGATCAATAACAACACTGTGCTAGCCAAGGATTCGAACCCATGTTGTACTGCCTGTTTGTGAGGCTAGTACACCAAACAGGGATGAGAAGGAAATTAGCTTAGAAGCTCCCAGACCTCCGTATGTCCTCGGATGGCGGTCCAACAGCTAGCTCTATTGGTTGCGCCATTCTTGTAGGGCTGGGTGGTCCTGTGGTTTAAAGCGTCATTAGGTTCTCACTTGCCATGAGGCATGCCAGTACAACATGGGTTCGAATACTTGGCTAGCGCAGTGTTGCTATTGATCAATACCACTCGTCCGTGATAACAATAATATATATATATATATATATTATATATATATATATATATATATATATATATATATAATATATATATATATATATATATATTTTGTGATCATAAACGAGTGGTATTGATCAATAACAACACTGCATTAGCCAAGGACTCGAACCCATGCTGCTTTGGCCTGCCTCAAGGTGGGCGAAAACACATGACGCCATTATCCACTGGACCATACGATCCTCAAGAGTAGTGCATCCAGCAGAACTGAATGTTGTACTCCCTACCCAAGGACATACGATGGTGTGGATGACTCTAGCCTAATTTCATTATAGTTCTGCTGGATGCCCTACTCTTAAGGATCGTATGGTCCAGTGGATAAGAGTGTCAAGTGTTTTTGCCCACCATGAGGCAGGCCAAAGCAGCATGGGTTCCAGTCCTTGACCAATGCAGTGTTGTTATTGATCAATACCACTCGTTCTTGGTCACAATAATATAAAATACTGCTCGTTGAACTAGTACACAAAACAGGGACTAGAATGAAATTAGCCTAGCGTCATCCACACCATCGTGTGTCCTTGGGAAGCAAGTACAACATTCAGTTCTGCTGGATGCACTGCTCTTGAGGATCGTATGGTCCAGTGGATAATGGCGTCATGTGTTTTTGCCCACCATGAGGCAGGCCAAAGCAGCATGGGTTCGAGTCCTTGGCTAATGCAGTGTTGTTATTGTTTATATATATTATATATATTATATATATATATATATATATATATATATATAATATATATATATATATATTACATATATTTGATCTAAAACTTACTGTAGATCAGAACCTTGGAATGCTCTTAGAGGATTTAATATACAAGTAGTATTTAAAAATTCATGGACTGTTAGAAGCATCCTGATAAAGAATGCACCACGACAATGTGTTGGTGGTGTCTACAGAGTTGGTTCGGTTACAGTCTCTCCTATTTGGGACAAACGGGAAAATCATTGGAAGCGAGAATGTCCCAGCACCATTATTCGATACGTATAGCACAGGAGCCAACGTGATTTTCAACCACATTAGAGCTTGTAATAACCCGGCAAATTGGCTGGAAGCAAGAGTCATCTTTCCTTGTTCTTCCTGGCTTGAAAGGAATATTGTAGAATCGGCAGTTGTTAAGCTTGATAGGCAGTCATTATACAATATCAACTATGGGCAGTTCAAATTAGATGAATTTTTAGTTGAGGCAATAGCACATAGTCTAAAATTGGGCTCTTATATGAATGCATTAGACTGTCTTCAATGTAGTGCCACACAGAGGAATTAGGGCATATTTTTCCAGCAGTTTCTGAAGGTTGAACCAGAGTTTACCTTAGAATTATGCGGGTTGAATATCTGTAGCCATCTTTCTTGTTACTGCAGATGCCTCCCCTTTAAATGAGTTTATATTAATGAGCCCCATTTCTTTTACATAACTTTAAAAAGTTTCCCCTCTATATGTTATCATTTTCCCGCCACTTTAAATGGACACGTTGTGTCTCGGGAGGCTGCCCTATAATTGCCAGAGACGTCTCTATCACTGACAATATATTTATGTGTGCAAAGTTATTGATGTCATAGCGGAATATGACTGATTTTTTTATTATTGTCACATTAATTTCGTCTAGGCTATTACAATGTCAGTGCTTGTGGGATTTTTCTAATGCTATAATATTCATCCCTCTAGCTGTGGGCACTGTTGTGCCTGGTGGAACTTCCTGCATCCTCCTCTGTCTCTCCCTCACTCACTCATTTCAGTGTAGACGGTCCTCTGGGAACGTACTTGTTTGGACATCCTCCTCTTTTCTGCAATTTTGCAAGCTCCTGATAATGTGTTGATTGAAACACGAAAGGCCAAGGGCTATTATTCTACTCCCCCTCTCCTGTGGTTGTTCTGCATATATATATATATATATATATATATATATATATATATATATATATATATATATATATATATATATATATATATATATATATATATATGTATATATATATATATATATATATATATATATATATATATATATATATATATATATATATATATTATATATGTGTGTGTGTGTGTGTGTGTGTGTGGTGTGTGTGTGTGTGTGTGTGTGTGTGTACTCACCTATTTGTACTCACCTATTTGTGGTTGCAGGGGTCGAGTCTTAACTCCTGGCCCCGCCTCTTCACCGGTTGCTACTGGGCCCTCTCTCTCCCCGCTCCATGAGCTTTATCAAACCTCGTCTTAAAACTGTGTATGGTTCCTGCCTCCACTACGTCATTTTCTAGGCTATTCCACTGCCTTACAACTCTATGACTGAAGAAATACTTCCTAATATCTCTCTGACTCATTTGTGTCTTCAACTTCCAATTGTGGCCTCTTGTTTCTGTGTCCCTCCCTGGAACATCCTGTCTTTGTCTACCTTGTCTATTCCACGCAGTATTTTATATGTCGTTATCATGTCTCCCTGACCCTCCTGTCCTCCAGTGTCGTCAGGCCGATTTCCCTTAATCTTTCTTCATAGGACATTCCCCTTAGCTCTGGAACTAACCTTGTCGCAAACCTTTGTACTTTCTCTAGTTTCTTGACGTGCTTTATCAAGTGCGGGTTCCAAACAGGTGCTGCATACTCCAGTATGGGCCTGACATACACGGTGTACAGTGTCTTGAACGATTCCTTACTAAGGTATCGGAATGCTGTTCTCAGGTTTGCCAGGCGCCCATATGCTGCAGCAGTTATCTGATTGATGTGTGCTTCCGGAGACATGCTCGGTGTTATACTCACCCCAAGATCTTTCTCCTTGAGTGAGGTTTGCAGTCTTTGGCCACCTAGCCTATACTCTGTCTGTGGTCTTCTGTGCCCTTCCCCTATCTTCATGACTTTGCATTTGGCAGGATTAAATTCGAGAAGCCATTTGCTGGACCAGGTGTCCAGTCTGTCCAGGTCTCTTTGAAGTCCTGGCTGGTCCTCATCAGATTTAATTCTCCTCATTAACTTCACATCATCTGCAAACAGGGACACTTCTGAGTCTAACCCTTCCATCATGTCGTTCACATATACCAAAAATAGCACTGGTCCTAGGACCGACCCCTGTGGGACCCCGCTCGTCACAGGTACCCACTGTGATACATCATTACGTACCATGACTCGTTGTTGCCTCCCTGTCAGGTATTCTCTGATCCATTGCAGTGCCCTTCCTGTTATATGCGCCTGATGCTCTAGCTTCTGCACTAATCTCTTGTGAGGAACTGTGTCAAAGGCCTTCTTGCAGTCCAAGAAGATGCAATCAACCCACCCCTCTCTCTCGTGTCTTACTTCTGTTATTTTATCATAAAACTCCAGAAGGTTTGTGACACAGGATTTGCCTTTCATGAAGCCGTGCTGGTTGGCATTTATACTCTTGTTCCTTTCCAGGTGCTCCACCACTCTCCTCCTGATAATCTTCTCCATAACTTTGCATACTATACACGTCAATGACACAGGTCTATAGTTTAGTGCCTCTTTTCTGTCTCCTTTTTTAAAAATGGGAACTACATTTGCCGTCTTCCATACCTCAGGTAGTTGCCTAGTTTCCAGGGACGTGTTGAAGATTGTGGTAAGTGGCACGCACAACATATCTGCTCCCTCTCTAAGGACCCACGGGGAGATGTTTTCCGGTCCCATTACCTTTGAGGTATCGATGTCCCTTAGCAGTTTCTTCACCTCCTCCTCATCTGTATGTATGTCGTCCAACACTTGTTGGTGTATTCCTTGCTGGTGTCCCCATCTGATCTGTCCCCCCAGAGTCCTTCCTGTCTCTACTGTAAATACTTCCTTAAATCTCGTGTTGAGCTCCTCACATACCTCTTGATCGTTTCTTGTGAGTTCTCCACCTTCTTTCCTCAGCCTTATCACCTGGTCCTTGACTGTTGTCTTCCTCCTAATGTGGCTATACAGTAGTTTCGGGTCAGATTTGACTTTCGATGCTATGTCGTTTTCATACTGTCGCTGGGCCTCCCTCCTTATCTATGCATACTCGTTTCTGGCTCTTCTACTAATCTCCTTGTGTGTGCGTGTGTGTGTGTGTGCGTTAATCCTTTAAGAAAGAAACACATTACTTACTTGGCAGGAGACAACACCAGCCCTAGGAGACCCTGGTCAGCCCAACGGCAAACTGGCCTCATACGGCACGATGGTGGGCGATGGTACTGTAGGGGAAGGCCAAACCTACCCCCAGGAGACCTACACACAGCAGGAGGCCTACACGCTACAACAGCATCAGCAACAGCCCTCATTCACCCAACACCCGCCGTCCCAGGTAGAATACTCGCAACAACACCTGTGAGTACTCCTGTGTTAAGCATATGTTGTGTACAGTTCCCCACTAGTTGGTGTAACAAGAACCTGGTTAACTGGTTAAAAGCCTATCGACAGCAGGTACACTTGTAAGGTTGAATGACTCTAGAACTGTACACCGCTGGTCAAAAGTACTATAGTCCTTAAATCAGAGATTAAAGGAAACTCTGAGCATATGAGCACTGAAAGATAAACACCTCTCAGTGTACGCACATAGAGAGATTTACACCTCTCGGTGTACACAGACTGAGAGATAAATACCTCTCTGTGTATATGCAGTGAAGGATATACACATCTCGGTGTATCGTGAAGACTGTTACACAAGGAACTGATTAATAATATATTTTGAATATTTTCAGTGACACTTGCAATTCTTTCCACGAACTACTAAATTTTTCCATTAGTCACAATGTACAGCAGCAGCATTATATCTGAAGTGTGAATAATCTGAACATAAGAACATAAGAACATAAGAACGAAGGAACACTGCAGAAGGCCTACTGGCCCATGCGAGGCAGGTCCAAGTCTCCTACCGGCTTAAGCCAATGCACCCAACCTAGTCAGGTCAGGTCACATTGACTTAAGGGAGGAACACGGCAACCGACCTGTTAGCACAAGCTATCAGGTCTAACTCACACCCACCCACATCTACTCATGTATTTATCCAACCTATTTTTAAAGCTACACAACGTTCTGGCCTCTATAACGGTACTTGGGAGTTTGTTCCACTCATCCACAACTCTATTACCAAACCAGTACTTTCCTATATCCTTCCTGAATCTGAATTTTTCCAACTTAAAACCATTGCTGCGAGTCCTGTCTAGGCTAGATATTTTCAGCACACTATTTACATCCCCTTTATTTATTCTGTCTTCCACTTATACACCTCAATCATATCCCCCCTAATTCTACGTCTTTCTAGAGAGTGCAGATTCAGGGCCCTTAGTCTATCCTCATAGGGAAGGTTTCTGATACATGGGATCATCTTTGTCATCCTCCTTTGTACATTTTCCAGAGAATTTATATCCATTCTGTAATACGGTGACCAAAACTGTGCAGCATAATCTAAATGAGGCCTAACCAAGGATGTATAGATTGAAGAAACCTGAGGACTCCTATTATTTATGCTTCTTGATAGGGAAGCCAAGGATTCTATTAGCTTTATTGCGAACACTTATGCACTGTTGTCTTGGTTTCAGATTACTGCTAACCAGAACTCCTTTAAATCTTTTTCGCAATCCGTAATATTAAGATCTAAAATTATTTAGTTTATATGTGGCATGGTTATTGTCCTGTCCAACATTTAGAACTTTGCATTTGTCTATATTAAACTGCATCTGCCACTTCTCCGACCACTGCATCAGTCTATTCAAAATCTTCCTGGAGTGCTCGAATGTCCTCGTCAGAATGAATTCGACGGCCTATTTTGGTGTCATCGGCAAACTTGCCGATGTCGCTCTTTATGCCCTCATCTATGTCGTTTTTGTAGATTGTGAACAGCAGGGGGCCCAACACTGACCCCTGTGGAAACGCTCGTGACGCTTCCCCACTCTGATTTTCTCCCCATTTATGCAAACTCTCTGCTGCCTATTTTCAACCATGACTCTATCCAGGAAAAAAATTTCCCCTCCTATTCCATGTGCTTTAATTTTCCTCAATAGTCTCTGATGTGGGACCCTGTCAAAAGCCTTACTGAAGTCCATATACACAATATCATATTCATTACCATGATCTACCTTCAAATACCTTAGTGAAAAAAGTTAATAAATTCGTAAGGGCAGGAACGCCCCTTTGTAAAACCATGCTGAGAATTCGTTGATTAATTTATGCTTTTCAAGGTGGCTACGAACTGCCTCGGCAATTATTGATTTTTTTACAAAGTAGAAGTGATGCAAGGAGGGAAGAGTATATGGAGAAAAAGAGAGAGGTTAAGAGAGTGGTGAAGCAATGTAAAAAGAGAGCAAATGAGAGAGTGGGTGAGATGTTATCAACAAATTTTGTTGAAAATAAGAAAAAGTTTTGGAGTGAGATTAACAAGTTAAGAAAGCCTAGAGAACAAATTGATTTGTCAGTTAAAAATAGGAGAGGAGAGTTTTTAAAAATGGAGAGTTAGGGGTTTATTGGGAAGATGGAAGGAATATTTTGAGGAATTGTTAAATGTTGATGAAGATAGGGAAGCTGTGATTCGTGTATAGGGCAAGGGGAATAACATCTTGTAGGAGTGAGGAAGAGCCAGTTGTGAGTGTGGGGGAAGTTCGTGAGGCATAGGTAAAATGAAAGGGGTAAGGCAGCCGGGATTGATGGATAAAGATAGAAATGTTAAAAGCAGGTGGGGATATAGTTTTGGAGGTTTGGTGCAATTATTTAATAAATGTATGGAGAGGGTAAGGATACCTAGGATTAGGCAGAGAAGCATGCATAGTTCCTTGTATAAAGGCAAAGGGGATTAAAAGAGAGTGAAAAAAATTATAGGGGGATAAGTCTGTTGAGTGTACCTGGTAAAGTGTATGGTAGATTTATAATGAAAGAATTAAGAGTAAGACGGGATAGGATAGCAGATGAACAAGGAGGCTTTAGGAAAGGTAGGGGGTGTGTGTGGACCAGGTGTTTACAGTGAAACATATAAGTGAACAGTATTTAGATAAGGCTAAAGAGGTCTTTGTGGCATTTATGGATTTGGAAAAGGCGTATGACAGGGTGGATAGGGGGGCAATTAGCAGATGTTGCAAGTGTATGGTGTAGAGTTTAGGTTACTGAAAGCAGTGAAGAGTTTTTACGAGGATAGTGAGCTCAAGTTGAGTATGTAGAAAGAGGGAAATTTTTTCCCAGTAAAAGTAGGCTTAGACAAGGCTGTGTATTGTCACCGTGGTTGTTTTAATATATTTATAGTGGGGTTTGTAGAGAGTAAATGCAGGGTTTTGCAGAGCCTGAGTTAAGAAAAAATCACTCCAAGTGGGAAGTTGTCACAGCATGCATCTTTGTGATGCCTGTGCTTTGGGAGATTTAAGAAGTGCAGAGATTGTATGATTAGGTATGTGAATAGGAAAAAGGTGACAAAAACTGTTGAGGATAACAAAGAGGGCTAGGAATGGATGTATAGATTGGAGGGAGAGAGTTGAGGAGTACGTATTAATTTTGGATGGACGTGTCGCGATGGTCTATGAAAGATGAGGTGATCATAGTAGTTATGGGGAAACTAGTGAGTGTTGCACTTGGAGTACTGTGGAGACAAATCAACTTTTTTCCTTGGAAAAGAGATGTATGAAGTATTTAGTTTACAGTCTTTATTGGGGTTTGTAACGTGTAGAATTTGCAGCTAGATAAGGCTGGAGGCATGATGTCATTCTGACGGGCAATTGTGGTTGATTAATGCAAATCTTTTAGTTGAGAGTGCGGGATTACCAAACTGTTTCCCGAGGCTAGTTGTTGGGTGGTTCAATGTAGAAAATTTGGATGCGAACTCTTCAATGTATCAGTCTTTTTATGTGAAGGAAGCGTAGGGTGGCCTAAAGGGTTGATGGGGGGTAACAGGTTTTGTGTGCGAGCGCTTGATTCCACAAGGCAAATCTCTGCGCTGATTTGTAGCATGAATGGAACAAATTTTAATACTTGACGTGCTTTAATGTCCAAAGTCATTTATGAGGGATTCAAAAGCCCGACTGAGTCCATATACAATACATACAGTGCCATGCACTCTGAAATAGTTGTGAAATTTAGTTAAAAACTGTAAGGGGAACGCCCCTTTGGCAAACAGTGCTGAGTGAATATGTTGAAAGTTTTTGCTTTTTCAGGGTGCGGTAGGAATGCCTGGCAATAATGATTCAAATAAATTTTCCCACTATGGAGGTTAGGCTTATTGGTCTATAGTTCGAAGCTAAGGACCTGTCACCTGTTTGAAAATAGGTATCACATTTGCCATTTTCCACTTATCTGGCACCATGCCAGTTTGTAGTGATATGTTGAAAAGATTAGCCAAAGGTGGGGCTAAGCTCCTCTTTACATTCCTTTAGAACCCTTGCATACAGTTCATCAGGGCCTGGGGATTTGTTAGGTTTTAATTTATCTATTTGCCTAAGGACCATGTCACTTGTGACCCTAATAGTGCACAGTTTATTATCGTCCTGTTCTACATAATTTATCATTACTGGAATATCACTGGTATCCTCCTGTGTAAAAACTGAGAGGAAGTATGTGTTAAAAATTCTACACATTTCCTTATCACTGTCAGTGAGCTGACCCGAGGAACTTTTGAGTGGGCCTATCTTGTCCTGATCTTACTTCTGTATACCTGAAAGAATCCTTTTGGGTTAGTCTTCGATTCTCTTGCAACTTTAACCTCATAATCTCTTTTTGCTTTTCAAATTTCCCCTTTTTTATTTCTCTCTTTAACTGAATATATCGATTTCTTAATTGCCCCTCTCCTCTTTTGATTTGCCTATATATGCCTCTCTTTTGACCAATCAGATATTTTAATCTATTGTTCATCCATTTAGGATCATTTTTGTTTGATCTGATTTCCCTATTTGGAACATAATTTGACTGAGCAGCTAGAACTATGCCCTGGAAAGCATCATATCGGCAACCATCACCACCTACCTGCCCCTTAGTCAGGTCATTCCAGTTCAGCCCACCTAAGTAATTTTTCAGTCCTATGAAATCAGCCAAGCGAAAGTCAGGGACGGAGACTTGATTGCCATTATTAGGGGAATTCCATAATATGTTAAAACTGAGTGATTTGTGATCACTTCCCCAAGCTCATCATTAACCTCAAGATTATTAATTAGTGTTTCCCTACTGGCAAGAACCAAGTCAAGGAGGTTATTTCCCCTAGTTGGCTCTGTCACAAACTGTTTTAAAAAACAATCCTGGATCGAATCAAGAAGTCACCCGACTCTAAATTTCCTGTCAAATTGCTCCAGTCAATCTGTCTATAGTTGAAATCTCCCATTAGCACAACATTTTCGTATGTAGATGCCTTACGAATTTCGTCCCATAGAAGTTTACTGCACTCCTATCAAGATTTGGGGCCCTGTAAATCACACCAAAATTAGTTTTTCTCGGCCCTCGAGAAGCTGTAACCAAACAGATTCAGTGGCTGACGCTTCTAATTTAATATCTTGTCTAACACAACAATTTAAATTGTCTCTGACATACATCGCTACTCCACCACCTTTCCTGTTGACCCTGTCAGTGTGGAATAATTTATAGCCTTGTATGTGACATTCAGAGGGCATCTCTCTATCTTTCAGATTGAGCCAGGTCTCTGTTATAGCAATAATATCTATGTTTCCTGCACTTGCAATTAATCTTAGCTCATCTATCTTATTTCTAACACTCCTGCTATTAGTATAGTAAACCTTAAGGGAGCTAGTCCCTTGCTGCCCTCTGCTGTCCCCTTTGTTGCTGACCTGTTCTATTGTCTTTATTTATAACTTCATGCTGAATGCCTTTTATACATTTACTGTTTCCAACCCTAGTGTTGCAACCTGCTTGTTTCCCACACACACCCATACCTCTATCTTCCATCAGTTTAAAATCATAGGCATTTCACCAATGGCCTTCTCAATCGAGTCTGCAAGTGCTACCACCCTGCCCCAGAGAGATGTACCCCATCCCTTGCATACATATCATGTTTGCCATAAAAGTTGTTCCAGTTGTCAATGAATGGGATTGCAAGTTCCTTGCAGTATCTGTCTAGCCAGCAATTTACCAATTGCCCTAGACAACCATTCATTTCCTACTCCCCTTCTAGGCAAGATGCTACATATGATTGGGATCCCTCCCTTAGACTTAATGAAATCTATAGCTGACCTGTACTTATCTAGCAGCTCTTCTCTCCTACCCTTCCCAATATCATTTCCACCAGCACTGAGACAGATAATGGGCTTGTTCCCATTACCTGACATGATATTATCCAGCCTGTTGACAATGTCCCCAACACCAGCTCCAGGGAAGCACACTCTATCTCTCATCTTCTTATTCCTATTACAAAAAGCACGGTCAACATATCTTACCTGAGAGTCACCAACCACAAGAATGCGCTTACCTTCATTAGCAGGGGGAGTAGTACCCTTACCTTCACTGGCCACTGAAGTACATTCATCCTGGAGAACAGAGAAGCGATTTCCTACCTTCAGATCTTCACTCTTAACTTTCCTTACTCTGATGCGCCTCCCATTACTGTGAACAACTCGCCACTTGTAGCAGGTGCTGGGCTGCACCTCACTGCTGGTAGCCGTTGCTACCTCCCCACCTACAGCCTCCTCACAGTGAGAGACAGACTGCACCTCACTGCTAGAAGCCTCATTCCCCACATCTCCAACCACCTCACACTCTCTCCCAGGCCCATTGAGGTGGACCTTCAGCCTCCTAATCTCCTTCTGGAGAAGCAAGACCTCCTCCTTCAACTCTCCAACCTCAGTTTTTAAAACACTGCAGAAGCAAGCCATGCTTTGTAACCGTCCACGCTAATCCCCAAAGCAGCTCAGGGTCTGTGACCTCACGTGACGACTGACCACTGAACACTGAACTCATAAGAGAACATACTTTTCACTTATCGTAAATAATAATTATTATTGTTTGTAATATTTATGTTTATTCTGTGTGGTGGAACAGTAGCTGCTGTTGCTAGGCCAGTAGCTGGCGGTGGCAGTGAAACAGTACTTACTTGCGATGAGTAGCTGTAGATTAGACAGTAGCTGCTGGCTAGACAGTAACTACTGGCTAGATAGTATCTTAACTAGACAGCAGTTGCTGGTTAGACAGTAGTTGCTGGTTAGACAGTAGTTGCAGGTTAGACAGTAGTTGCTGGTAAGGCAGTTGTTGCTGGTTAGACAGCAGCGCCTGCCTCAAATGCAGCTCGTATATCAACACTAACTTTTGTTTCTAAAGTAGCTGCTGTACGACTATAACTCTGGTTCTCTTGCAGGTGGGCAGCACTGACTACGCGACGCAGAACCCTCACAATCCCTTCGCTGGGGCAGCGCCTCCGTCCAACCCCTTCAGCGGAGCCTTCACGCAGGAGGCAGTGCAGCCTCCTGCAGGCTACTACAACCAGGACCGGCTCTAGGTCAACACTTCCTGTGTACTGGCTGGAGGCCCCACAACCACCTCCAGGCTGTTAGCACTCAGCACCAGGGCCATGGGTCAACACTACCTAGGCGCTGGCTGAAAAGACAGGAGCATTAGCATATCAAAGGAGTTCTAAGCCTCCCATTGCCTGTGTTAGACCGAGATGGGTCATTAGATTGATGTAAATCTGTGCTGAGGCACTGCTAGGAATCCAATCTCTTGATCTAGTGTGTTCATTGCCTCTAGACGAGCTCTTTACCCCCCAACCTAAGTAGAACGTTGAGGATTAGATTGGGTTTGTTAGAGACGCTGATAGAACATAATCTACATCGTTTTTGGTTCATTGAGGTCACGTGTGGCTCGGGAGATGCGCGAGGCAGGTGCCAGGTCAGGCCACAAGTGGTTCCTGACCTACCCAGAGCCAGATGTGAGGTCAGGCCACACGTGACTTCTGACCTTCGCCAGCCAGACGTAAGGTCAACAATCTTGAGTTCTGATCTTTGGGTTCGCTCCTGAATCTAGAAACCATTTCTAGAAGCCAGTTTTAGGTAGACCGTTCCAATTGCGCTACAAGCTGAGAGTGTGTACAAAAAGGCGAGGGAATAATTTTAAAGACGCAAGAGACAGTGTTGGACAACACGAAATTGTCGTAAGCTGAAGCGTAAAAAGAAGCTTCAGAAACACCTACCTGCAGTTTGTTACCAAAAACAGCAGCAGTTTGCTCTAGAGGATCAAGAAAGAGAGAGAGAGAGAGAGAGAGAGAGAGAGAGAGAGAGAGAGAGAGAGAGAGAGAGAGAGAGAGAGAGAGAGAGAGATTAACAAAAAAGGCACAATATCGTGACTATAACAATACACAAATATCCCGCACATAGAAGAGAGGAGCTTACGACGACGTTTCGGTCCGACTTGAACCATTTACAAAGTTACACTGATTTTGTAAAGGATCGAAATCTGACCGAAGCGTCGTCGTAAGCTCCTCTCTTCCATGTGCGGGATATTTGTGTAGAGAGAGAGATTGTTCTTCAGGTTTTGCTCTGAATTTATGCAGCGACATATATAACCTCGAAAGAACTGTTTCTAGAACATCGCAGGTTGTTCTAGTTCTGTGCTAGATCTTGTTATTGATCTGTTTTAGAGCTTGTTCTTGGTTGTTATTCATCTTGTTCTTAATGTTGTTTAGGTCTCACTCTAGTTCTGTTCTAGATTTTGTTCTGGCTCGCTTCTAAATCTTTTTTCAAATTCTGTTCTACATCTATTCCAGATCTTGTTATAGATCTGCTCTAGGTTTTGTTCTAGATCTTGTTCTAGTTCTCCTTTAGATCTTGTTCTAGTTCTCCTCTACATCTTGTTCTAGTTCTTCTCTAGATCTTGTTCTAGAGGAGAACAAGATCTAGAGATCTTTCTCTAGATCTGTTCTAGATATTGTTCTCATTCTACATCTCTTCTGGAATTCTGCGAGCTGTAGCGTTCTTCTAGAACACGAAACTTGTTCTGCAACCCTTATAACATGTTACTGAACACTTATAGAACACACACACAATGTTCAAAAAGAATATACAAGTTGATTTAGAACTCTCCAACAGAACACGCAAGCCTGCTTGATAACATGTTCAGCCTGTTCTTGAAGAACTTGATATTGTTCTACAGTATTTAAGCCCCAGTCTTGAACAATCACAGCCTTTTCAAGAACACCCACAGCCTGTTCAAGGACACCCACAGCCTGTTCAAGGACACCCACAGATAGTTGAAGGACACCCACACTTTGTTCAAGGACACCCACAGCCTGTTCAAGGACACCCACAGATAGTTGAAGGACACCCACATTTTGTTCAGGGACACCCACAGCCTGTTCAGGGGCACCCACAACCTGTTCAGGGACACTCACAGCCTGTTCATGGACACCCACAGCCTGTTCAGGGACACCCACAGCCTGTTCAGGGACACCCACAGCCTGTTCAGGGACACCCACAGCCTGTTCAATCCTTGTCTGACCGACAACTACAAGTAAAAAAAATTAAATGCAAGGGGGAGAGAGTCCCAAACCCACAAGGGTCATACAGCCTTCGGCCTCTCCGAGGAACAACAGGGTAGCTTCAGTTTCCTGGATCAAGGGCCTCCGATCCTGCAGGTAAATCTAATAGTCGTCTGAGGAAATACCCCCTCCCCTCCCCCTAACCTCCCCCTTCCCTCACCTTCCCCCTGCCCGTCCTCGTCTTCCCCCCTCCCTCCCCTTCCCCTGTTCTCACCTGTTTTCGTTCTCCATGTTAAATTTAACATCGTTAAATTTAACATGGAGAACATGACGATATTAATTAATTAAAGCATGCGATATTAATTAAATTTAACTTCGTTAAATTTAATTAATATCGTCAATAAACGAGGACACGTCTGACTGTTGTTCTTCCGTTACGTCACTCACATGGACCAGAAACAGTAGCGGCCTGAGTGCTGATCCTTGTGCTACCCCGCTTCTTACATTTGCCCATTCTAACACTTCATCTCAGACAATAACAGATTGTCTCCTTTACGTTGAGTGTTCGTTGATCCAGCGTAGTGCAGTACCTGTTGCACCTGCTTGTTCCTCCCTGTTATACCTGCTTGTTCCTCCCTGTTATACCTGCTTGTATATCCCTGTTATACCTGCCTGTTCCTCCTTGTTATACCCCGAAGTCCGTGACATGATATCGAATAATCCGTGACATGACATCCAGAAGTCCGTGACCTGACATCCAGGAGTCCGTGACCTAACATCCAGCAGTCTGTGACATGACATCCAGAAGTCCGTAACCTGACATCCAAGAACCGTGCACTGACATCCAACAATCCGTGACCTAACATACAACAGTCTGTGACCTGACATCCAACAATCCGTGACCTGACATCCAGTAGTCAGTGACCTGACATCAAAGAATCCGTAACCTGACATCCAACAATCCATGACCTAACATACAACAGTTTGTGACTTGACATCCAACAATCCGTGACCTGACATCCTGCAGTCCGTAATCTAACATCCAACAGTCCGTGACATGACGCCCTGCAGTCCATAACCTGACATCCAGCAGTCCGTAACTGGACATCCAGCAGTCCGTAACCTAACATCCAGCAGTCAGTGACATGACATCCAGGAGTCCATGACCTGACATCCAACAGTCCATGACTTAACATCCCACAGTCTGTGACCTGACATCCAACAGTCTGTGACCTGACATCCATCAATCGGTGACCTGACACCAAACAGTCCGTGACTCACGAAATCGTAGACACGATTGCAAACAAAGCATACCACGGGTGGGGTTAGAACCCGCGATCCAGCAGTTCGTGGATACCTGACATCCAACTGTCCGTAACCTGACATCCAACACTCCTTCATCTGACGTCCAGGAGTTACTTGATTTCCAAGAGTGCCCTAATTTTTTTCTATAAATACTCGACTGTAGAGAACAGCAAGTGTCACTCAACTTCTAGCAAGTGTCACTCAACTTCTAGCAAGTGTTACTCATCTTCTAGCAAGTGTCACTCATCTTCTAGCAAGTGTCACTCATCTTCTAGCAAGTGTTACTCAACTTCTAGCAAGTGTTACTCATCTTCTAGCAAGTGTCACTCAGCTTCTAGCAAGTGTTACTCAACTTCTAGCAAGTGTTACTCATCTTCTAGCAAGTGTCACTCATCTTCTAGCAAGTGTCACTCATCTTCTAGCAAGTGTTACTCAACTTCTAGCAAGTGTCACTCAGCTTCTAGCAAGTGTTACTCAACTTCTAGCAAGTGTCACTCATCTTCTAGCAAGTGTCACTCATCTTCTAGCAAGTGTCACTCAGCTTCTAGCAAGTGTCACTCAACTTCTAGCAAGTGTCACTCATCTTCTAGCAAGTGTTACTCAACTTCTAGCAAGTGTCACTCAGCTTCTAGCAAGTGTTACTCAACTTCTAGCAAGTGTCACTCACTTCTAGCAAGTGTCACTCACTTCTAGCAAGTGTCACTCATCTTCTAGCAAGTGTCACTCATCTTCTAGCAAGTGTCACTCAGCTTCTAGCAAGTGTCACTCAACTTCTAGCAAGTGTCACTCAGCTTCTAGCAAGTGTTACTCAACTTCTAGCAAGTGTCACTCAGCTTCTAGCAAGTGTCACTCAACTTCTAGCAAGTGTCACTCAGCTTCTAGCAAGTGTCACTCAACTTCTAGCAAGTGTCACTCAGCTTCTAGCAAGTGTCACTCAGCTTCTAGCAAGTGTCACTCAGCTTCTAGCAAGTGTCACTCAACTTCTAGCAAGTGTCACTCAGCTTCTAGCAGTGTTACTCAACTTCTAGCAAGTGTCACTCAACTTTTAGCAAGTGTCACTCAGCTTCTAGCAAGTGTCACTCAGCTTCTAGCAAGTGTCACTCAACTTTTAGCAAGTGTCACTCAGCTTCTAGCAAGTGTCACTCAGCTTCTAGCAAGTGTCACTCAGCTTCTAGCAAGTGTCACTCAACTTCTAGCAAGTGTCACTCAACTTCTATCCAGCTCCATGTAAGGGTGAAGTAGGTCAGGTCAAATGTTTCCTGACGCGGGTCTTAGTCATACGATGACCTGCCGCTGGAGCTTCTGGTCATATGATCGAGGCCTCCCGCTGGCTTACCCCACCACCCCTTTAAAAATTAAGGCTATCTTTATAACCACATTAATTTATTCGGGTCTTTCCCAGGGTGCGATCCACGATACTTGACTAACATTCAGGTACCTACGTTTAACCAGATTTCGTTTGACTGGGGTACAAAATGTTCTATTGAATTTCTGTTGCAGTTTGAAGTTGATGCAGTTAAGTTGTAACACAAAATTTTTTTCTCTTTATGCAATAGTCATTTTTAAATTCTGGTTATGTATTACTCTTGACAGGACACATAATGTGCATCATGGTTATGTGTCACTCTTGACAGGACACATAATGTGTATCATGGTTATGTGTCACTTTTGACAGGACACATAATGTGCATCATGGTTATGTGTTACTCTTGACAGGACACATAATGTGTATCATGGTTATGTGTCACTTTTGACAGGACACATAATGTGCATCATGGTTATGTGTCACTCTTGACAGGACACATAATGTGTATCATGGTTATGTGTCACTCTTGACAGGACACATAATGTGCATCATGGTTATGTGTCACTCTTGACAGGACACATAATGTGTATCATGCTTATGTGTCACTCTTGATAGGACACATAATGTGCATCATGGTTATGTGTCACTCTTGGCAGGACACATAATGTGTATCATGGTTATGTGTCACTCTTGACAGGACACATAATGTGCGTCATGGTTATATGTCACTCTTGACAGGACGCATGTGTATCATGGCTATGTGTCACTCGTAACAGGACATATAATGTGCATCATGGTTATGTGTCACTCTATTGACAGGACACATAATGTGCATCATGGTTATGTGTCACTCTTGACAGGACACGTAAAGTGTATCATGGTTATAACACTCTTGACAGTAAACACAATGTGTATCATGGTTATGTGTCACTCTTGACAGGACACATAATGTGTATCATGGTTATGTGTCACTCTTGACAGGACACATAATGTGTATCATGGTTATGTGTTACTCTTGACAGGACACATAATGTGTATCATGGTTATGTGTCACTCTTGACAGGACACATAATGTGTATCATGGTTATGTGTCACTCTTGACAGGACACATAATGTGTATCATGGTTGTGTGCCACTCTTCACAGGACACATAATGTGTATCATGGTTATGTATAACTCTTGACAGAACACATGTGTATCATGGTTATGTGTCACTCTTGACGGGACACATGTGTATCATAGCTATGTGTTACACATAAGAGAACACTTA